AAAAAAAAAAAAAAAAAAAAAAAAAAAAAATCATTTAAACAACTATTACAAAGTATAAAAACTACTCCTGGGCTTCCCTGGTGGCGCAGTGGTTGAGAGTCCGCCTGCCGATGCAGGGGACACGGGTTCGTGCCCCGGTCCGGGAAGATCCCACATGCCGCGGAGCGGCTGGGCCCGTGAGCCATGGCCGCTGAGCCTGCGCGTCCGTAGCCTGTGCTCCGCAACGGGAGAGGCCACAACAGTGAGAGGCCCACGTACCGCAAAACAAACAAACAAACAAACAAACAAAACTACTCCTAATAATTTCTATGGCCTCAACTGGGACCATTAGAATACTTTAATATACTTCAAAATAACTTAATTAGCTCTATGGTTATTTTGCCTGCCATAAAACAGACCCAAGAAGTCTCCCTTCTTTTAGCAGATTAATCCTAGCGATACTAACTCTGGAATCCACCTCTTCATTCAAGGCCAGCTGGATAAGGAAGATACTGGTTACCCAGGTTACCAACTAGCTGATTTATAGGAAGAAGGAAAATGAGGAAAAGCTATCCAAAATATCTAAGATGGATAACTTACACCACCAGTTAAAGCAAGTGCCTTCTTTCCTATATTTTAAATATTAAAGAAACAACACTCTAAACGTAGGTTCAGTATTTTCTCTATAGCGTGCGTAATTCCCTAAACCTATCAGCATCACCCGGGAGTTTGTTTGAAATGCAAATTAGTACACACATCGCCCAACACACAAACCTCCGACCCATTAAATCGGAATCGTGGGGACAGGGCTCAAGAAGTTGTGTTTAACAAACTCTCCAAGTGAAGTCTGAGAAGCACTGCTCTACAGAAACTCAGACCCTACAGATTGAAAATAAATTTCAATTCATGGCAGAATAACTAGATGACGGCAGAGAAGCACGTCAGTGTTTTCCCCAATGTTCTCAGACTTTCATGTCCCGGCCTTGACACTCTGCCCACCCTTCAGCCCTGTTCTTACCAGCTAGGTTGTTGTAGCAGTCTGTCTGGGTGGTGCGCAGTACGTTTTCTTGTTCAGGTGTGAGGGCCGGGCCCTGGGGTCCCAGATTAGGTATCGGAGAGGGCAGACTTGGATCCAGACCCCGCAGCTGCAGCAGAGCTCGATGGTACCCACTCACAGCATCTCGGTACTTCCCTTCCCGGTAACATTGGTTCCCTTTCTCCTTGTACAGCTGGGCCTCCTGCAGGCGCTTCTCCATAACTTTGTCGCCCAGTGCTCTTGAGGAATTGGGAAGTGAAAGAGCAACCGAAGCTCTGGGGATAGGAGCGAAATAACCGATTTTGGCAGCCGACTTAAAAAAGCAGGAAATTCTCCTTCTCCAGGAGGCCTCTCAGGGAATGTTTCCTTGATTCTGCTACAGCCCCTTCCTTTCTTCTCTGCAGTTATTTTTCAATCTCTAGAAGTGCAGGGGATTGATCAGGGAGGGGACGTGGGAAGAGTAAAGCCAGAGATTAATTTATTTCCTAAAGCGGCGACTCCGGGCGGGAGGAGACTGCACGAAAAAGCGAAGGCCGTACTATAAAATTGTGGCCAGCGTGCAAACGCCAGAGGAATTTGCTTCCTCCTTTCCTTCGGACACACCTCCCTGACCTGGAAATGGAAGGGAGTAGGCGGGGACAACTGCTAAAAGAAGTCTAGAGGGCTTGCCTCCATCCCAGCTCTTTGTTCGCACTTATTCAACCAGCATTTGTTGACCTCCGGGCCAGGAGCTGGGGAACCGAGGTGAATGCGGTCCGTGCACCCCAAACACAGCCCGAGGGTGACGCGGCCGCAGCGCCGCTCATGCAAGCCTCGCATGCCCCGCGGCCAGCCCCTCGCCCCCAGCAAGTGGCCGAACCCGAAGTCTCCCCGCTGGGCTTCGATTTACCGGCGGGGAGTACGCAGAGGGCAGGGTCAGGCTTCCCAACAACTTGGTGTCTAAAGGGTGGCGCGCATTGCTCCACGCCGCCCAATCAGAAGCGGCCCCGGAAAAGTAATCCCGCAGAAACGACCCCGCCTCTCCAGCCTCCCCAGTGGACCAACCGTGGGGTGGGCGGAAATCCTCTGGCAGCTTCGCCAATTGAAAAAAAAAAAAAAAAAAAAATCCGAAAGCTCTTGAGGGACCAATCAGAATTGCAGATGACGATTCAAGTTGGCCAATACGGCGAGGTCAGGGTGTCTGTTGCTGGGTAGAAGTTGAAGGATTGAGGGGGAAAAAAGAGGGCCGGGGTTAGTTACTGCAGTCCTTGCAAGGTTTTAGAGAGCCCTTTTGTTGACTAACGAGAAAGACAATTGCCAGTAGGCGTTCACGTTGCAAGAGCTTCCCTGCTTTCCTTCTGGCGTTTTTCTCTCTCAAGAAGTGGCTGCACGAATAGACACTAGGGAACAGAGATTAGCGAGCAAGCCCTACGACAACAGTGTGATCGGGTCAGACGGAAGTAAGGGTGGTGACGGGGTGGGAGGGGCGTGTGGCGAGGGAGCTCCGGGCGGCTGCGCGGAGCCCCGGCTGGAAGTACGGAGAGACGGGTGCGCACACGCCTCGGTACTACGAGGCACTTGAGCCGAAGCCAGCCTTTCCCGTCTCCGGCTCCGGTGCGACTGCGCCGTGAAGCCGCTGGCGGCGATTGGCCCAGGGGGTGAGAGGGGGCGGGAGGTAAAGAGAGGGAAGTCCATCGTCCTCGGCGCGCGCCCACCCGCCCGCCCGCCCGCGGCAGGGGGACCAAGGGGGGTGGG